GCCGCGTTTTGCCCACAAATACACAGTCAATTCACTTTACAGTGTTTTCTGTGAAGCCCTTTGAGACATCTCGAAGACGTGATATATCAAATACAAGGATTATATTTATTATTATTATGTCATGTTTACAGCTATATAATATAATAATAATCCTTGTATTTGATATAGCGCCTTATCATATCTTTGAGACGTCTCAAAGCGCTTCATAGAATATACTGTAAAGTGAATTAACTGTATTTTGTGGAGAAATATACAACTCTTATGGAAACTCATGGTGCCTTCCCCCGCCACCTGGAGCTCACAAAACGACTTCAGTCGCCCTTACCCCCACCCACTGTCCTTTTCCCCATCGTCTCCGAGTTTGTGCTAGTTCCTCAGGCAAATCTTAGCTCTATAGAATCTGTAGCACAAGAAGAAAAGATTCAGTCCAACACATTTGTTCTGGTGTAAAGAACTCTAATCCTAATTCCCCACTCTTTGCACGTAGCCTTTTAATAATAATAATAATCCTGGCATTTGATACAGCGCCTTATCACGTTGTTGAGACATCTCAAAGCGCTTCACAGAATATACTGTAAAGTGAATTGACTGTATAATTTGTGGGGCGAGAAGTAAGCAAGATGTGTTGAGACTCTTAAGCGGCGATGTGGGGGAAATGCAGCACTCAATTGTGCACAGCAGCATCCCCACAAACAGTAGTGGATTGAGTGACCAAATTATTATTATTAATTTGACTTATTTCTAGATAAACAGAGGCTTGTGTGTGGAGCAAAGAAACCTGCTTGGCTGAGAATCGAACCCAGGTCCTCACATATATTTATATTTTATATTTCTCTTCCCAAATCGTTAAACGCAATAGTCTCAGGTTCAGGCTTTTGGCCTGAATTCATTGGTAGACTGGGACAGAGGTTTGGGTATTGACATTCAATGTTGGGGGTTCAGTTCCTTGGCTCTCCCTCACCAACTCTACATCAAGGACTCCAGCCCTTATCTTACCCCACCGCTTCAACAACAACAACTTGCTTTTATATCGTGAAGGGTAGCTTCCTGGAGTTCTTGACAGTGGCGGAGTCTGACATCGAACCAGGGAGGAGAGGGAGGCGGGAGGGAGGCGGGAGGTGACCGTAAGCAGGATCCAAAAAGGAAGCTCTTTAGATGGGATTTGATGGTGGGGAGGGAGGGGGCGAGGCGGAGGGATCGATGGAGAGAGTGACAGAGTTTCGGGGTGTAGTGGTTGAAGGCAAGGCCACCGATGGTGGAGCGGGAGGGAGCGAAGGACAAACAGGAGGCCCGAGCAGCAGGTGGTGGAGTTGGGGGATGAGCAGGTTGGAGAGGGAGGGGGGGAGATATGAGGGCACGAAGGGATTTGAAAATGAGTGAGAGGATCTTGAAATCGATCCTTCAACGACCATTATTTCAATATCGCAGCAAGGACAACGACTTGCATTAACACACTGGTACAATAACACATACTGCTTTACTATGATAACAGTAATGATCTTTGCATTGGTTATAGCACCTTATCACGTTGTTAAGACGCCTCAGAGCGCAGTACAGAATACACTGTGAAGTGCATTCACTGTGTATCTTGTGGGCAAAATGCGCAGCCAATTGCGCACAGCAGTGTCCCCCAAACAGTCGTGGATTGAGTCAATCAGTTATTATAAATGTGGAGGAGCATCACAGCACACATGGTGTGTTATATACAATCAAACACACAGGAGTGTTATATAAGGTAAACAAATGAATGACAGCCGGAAACTGTATTATATATTATGTACAGGAGTCATACCCCAGTAACATGGGGTGCATTACACTCAATCCACCACAGTCTGTGGGACGCTGCTGTGTGCAATTGGCTGCCACGTTTCGCCAACAAAATACACAGTCAATTCCCTTTACAGTGTATCCTGTGAAGCGCTTTGAGACGTCTCGAAGATGTGATAAGGTGCTGTGTCAAATGCAAAGCTTAGTTTATACCCAGTAGCACACAGTGCATTATACAATACATACAGGAGCATTGTACTTAGTAATAATAATAATCCATGTATTTGATATAGCGCCTTATCAGGTTACTGAGATATCTCAAAGCAACGTTCCACAAACAGTCGTGAATTGCGTAACCAAATTATTTTTTGAAGGGATTATTACGCTGGTAGGTGTGTCTGTGGCCCGTGGTCACAGTCTTAAGATATCTACCAAAAGAAGCAGAGGGGAGGTTAGAAGAAGTGTTTTCACTCAGCGAGTTGTTGGAATTTGGAATGATCCGCCCAAAAGGGCAGTGAAGTCCGATTCGATAACAGCTTTTAAGAGAGAACTGGACAGGTATCTGAGGAAGACGGGTTTGCAGGGTAATGGGGAGAAAGCTGGTGATTGGGGTTAATAAAAGTCAGTGGCTCTGTCAAAGAGCCGCACAGACTCGATTGGCCGAATGGCCTCCTTCTGTGCTGTAACATTCTATGATTCTATGATTACCCTCTAAAACGATCGACTAACAACTGGGTTCCTCTTGCTGTTAGGTGAACAGAGGTGTGAATGAATGGAGTAAGAAAGCCTGCCTAAGATTTTGCCCTGCCCAGGAATCAAGCCCAGGTCTTCTCGCTTGCGAGGCGAGCCTGCTGACCACGAAGCTGCAGGACTTCTACAAACAGTTGAGAACTCATTATTAAAAGGGATATGCAATTCAAGAAACTGTTTCTGGCACACACAGAACCTGACGCTGGAGTCCTATCAAAACAAACCACGGCATCACTTACACATGATCTCTGTCACTGTGACTCAAGCCTCACATGGCTCCTCTCCTCTCCCTGCCCAAACACTACACTCACAGTAGACAGTACTACCTTCAACACACAAACCTCCTTATTGTGTGGGTGAGAGCGCGAGTGATGCTGGGACCGACGTTTGCCCATACAATTTAATAACATTCCTTGCATGTGATACAGCGCCTTATCACGTCGTTCAGACATCTCAAAGCTGCAAAGCTGTATACCTCACAGGATATGCTATAAAGTGAATTGACTGTATATTTCGCGGCAACCAATTGCGCACAGCAGTGTCCCACAAGCAATCGTGGATTGAGTGACCACATTTTTCTTTTGAAGGGATTATTACCACCGGAAAAGCGATCTGTCGATTGACTAACAATCGGGTTCCTATTCACTGCTAAGTCATCAGAGGCGCGTGTATGAATGTGTGTGTTTGTGTGCGTGAAGTAAGAAAACTTGCCTAAGGTTTTTGCTCTGACCGGGAATCAAAGCCACTGTGCTACGGGATCCCACGATAGTAAATCTTAGAGGCCAAGGCCTTGATGGAACCCCATTGGGCACTGGATCACCCCAGATTTCCTCCCTTCAGCCAAAAGTCCCTTCAGCCAAAAGTCCCTTCAGCCACCTTGGTTTGCAATGGTACCAAGCACTGGGTGATTTTCTACAGACCTGGAATGCTTTCCAGTGCAACCCTTGGCAAGTGACTCCCAACTCTTTCTGGATTCCCATCGACAGCATAATAATTATACTAATAATAATCCTTGCATTTGCTATCGCGCCTTATCACGTCGTTGAGACGTCTCAAAGCACTTCACTGGATACTTCGCCCACAAAATATACAGTCACTGCACTTTACAGTATATTCTGTGAAGCACTTTGAGACGTCTCGAAGACATGATAAGCAGCTGTATCAAATGCAAGGATTATTATTGTTATTATTCCTGTAAAGTGTAGTGACTGCATTTTGTGGGCAAAATGGGGCTGGTGCCAACTCCGCACAGCAGTGACCCACAAACAGCTGTTGATGAAGTGACCAAATTATTATTCCTATTTTTTTTCTGGACGGATCATTACCATCGAAAAATTGATCCGCCAATCGACTAACAACCGGGTTCCTGCAAAGCTTGGCTTAAATTATGCACAGGTTCCCGCTCACTGCATTACGTAGATTCCCCGTAAAACTCCTCACCTCCCTCACTCTCTCTCCTGCTGAGCCAATGCCCATCAGCATCACCTTGCTCACTCGCTGCTTGTTCCATTGCATTGCTAAACGCCTGCGGCTCAGACACCACATTAATAATAATAATCCCTCCATTTGACACAGCGCCTTATCATGTCTTTGAGACGTCTCAAAGCGCTTCACAGGATAAACCATGAAGTGAATTGATTGTATATTTTGTGGGCGAAACGCGGCAGCCAATTGCGCACAGACAGCGTCCCCACAAACAGCCGTGGGTTGAAATGATCGATTTATTATTTTATTTATTTATTCATCAATTGATTTTTTTTTTTGGGGGGGGGGAAGGGATTACTACCCCCAAAAAAGCGAGCCACCAATCGACTTAACACCAAAACATTTGGCCCACAAAATACACGACCGATTGATTTGACCGGGTATCCTGTGAAGCACTTTGAGACGCCTCGAAAACGTGATAAGGCGCTGTATCAAATAATTATTATTATTATTATTGCTATTATTATTAACAACCGGGTTCCTACTCGCTGTGGAGTCAGGAAACTGGCACTTTGACAGCATCCAATCCTTCCTTCCCCATCACACCGACCACTCAGCCCTGCAATTGAATCGCACTCACTCTTTGACTGAATTTGCTGCATTCTCTCTTTCCTGTCTGACTCACTCCTCTCTCTCTCTCTCTCTCTCCCTCATGTCCTTCAGCCTTTACCTACAAAAACTGCTGTTCCTTTGCACACACACACACAGAGAGACACACTCTCTCCCTCTCTCCATCCTTCCCCACACAATATTGTCTCGACCTGATTGTATTATTATTATTACGGGGGGGGGTTGGAAAGCCCGGGGGGTGACTTGACACATCAGACACCCATGGTCGCTGCTTAAAGGGTCTGGAAGCCAAGCTGAGCGTCCTCACCTGGAGATGTCAGAGCCTAAACCGCTTGGGCTCTGCCCAGACCGCAGTGACTGGTCCATTGGTAACGGTTCACCTCCTCCCCATCCCATCCGCCTCCCCATCACTCGCCCTCGTCAGGTACCTTTCTCTTGCGTTCCCGGGACCGGTTCCGTCTCTTTCGCTTCTCCTCCTCCTTCTTCTCCTGCTCCAACTGTGCCTGAGTCTCCACATCTTTGAGCTTCTTCAGCTGTTTAGCAGCTTGAGCCATATCAGGTGCTGTGGGTTAACCTTTTACGCACGTACAGAGGCATAGAGCCACTCACACACACAGACACACAGCCACTCACACACACACACAGACACACAGCCACTCTCACACACACAGACACACAGCCACTCTCACACACACAGACACACAGCCACTCTCACACACACACAGCCACTCACACACACAGACACTCACACATACACACAGACACTCACACACACACAGACACACAGCCACTCACACACACACAGACACACAGCCACTCACACACACACAGACACACAGCCACTCACACACACACACACAGCCACTCACACACAGATACAACTACTCACACACACACAGACAGACAGATACTCTCACACACACACACACAGACAGACAGACACGCACACTCACAGATAGCAAACACAGACAGACAAGTACACACACACTCACAGACAGACCATCACACCCACACACACACTCACTCCCGTGTGCGTCTCCAAGTCTCTGCAGCCCCCTCCAAGTTGAATGAAACGCGAGTGAGAGTGGTACATACACAAGAGAGACCAGTTTGGGTGGTGGTTGGGTGGTTGGGTGGTGGGTGGGTGAGTAGATCACTTTGGCTCCAGCAATGGGTCCTGCGCCGAAGTCTCCACGTCAGAGCTACAAATCCAGCAGCAAAAAAAAAGAAAGCGACGGGTAATACAGAGCCCCGATCTGCCCACACACAGCACAACACACACACAGCACAACACAACACACACACAACAGCCTTCAGGGGGAGAGGTCTCTCAGCCCTGTGCGGGAGCGCCTATGTTGGGCAAAGAGCGAGGGGGGAGACCAGGAGAGCGAGAGGGACAGGTCCGCCATGAGGTGCAGTCTCACACACAGTCCTGGATCACAGACAGAGGAGGAAACCAGACTCCTGGTCCATCCATTGGGGTCCTGTTTGAGGTCCATCAGACCTGGAGAAGCTGCTCACACGAGTGTCCTTCAGAAAGGCACCTTTGCCAACAAATGGAATTACCCTGCACCGTTACTGTGCCTCCGCATCCCTCCACCCTCCATCCTCCCTCCATCCCTCCCTCCATCCCTCCCTCCCTCCATCTCTCCTCTCCCTCTCTCACTTACTGTATATTCTCCACTGCAAACGCTGGTGATGTGCTATTGCTCCTGAACTCCTTCTTCCTCTGCTACATCTGCAGTCTCTCCAACACAAAACAACACCCCCCCCCTCCCTTTTCATTCCATTCTCATGTCATTAACACTTGTATTCCTGGTCAGGACTCTGAGCTAAACACATCTTTGCACACCTCACCCATGAGTTTCTCTCCCCCCCCCCACCACCACCACTGCAAATCAAATAAATAAATAATATAAATAAGATAAATTAATCGCAAGACACGAAAGACCAGTCTGTGTCAAACCCAACCTGTCGAAAACATATCAATAAATACGGGCTCTGATGGTGTGTAAGACCCCATCCTGGAGGTTTGTGTGTTTGGTGTTTTGCGTTGTTAGGTCGTGTGAATGATTCTGAGCTGAAAGAGAGAGAGAGGGAGAGAGATGTATTGGATGCCCTTACATGTTGGAAACACTGCAGAGAGAGAGAGAGAGAGAGAGGAGAGAGAGAGCAATTGCACACAGCTCTCCTCCACCACTCTCCTCTCCTCTCCTCGTCAATCACTGAGCAGCAGACAGCAGGACACCCTTATCAGACCAAGAGGCTGTTATTTCTTACACTTTTACAAACAGGAGGGTGATCAGCTTCAATCCACTCCAGTGTTTTGTTCGCTTGGGCTTCGGTCGGTACCTCAGGAAAAATAATTATATTATAATAATAGTAATCCTGGCATTTGATACAGCGCCTCATCACGTCTTCGAGACGTCTCAAAGCGCTTCACGGGATTTTACTGTTAAGTGAATTGACTGCGTATTTTGTGGGCGAAACGCGGCAGCTAATTGTGCACAGCAGCGTCCCCACAGTCATTGGATTGAGTGACTAAAATGTTTTGGGGGTTTTGAAGGGATTATTAACCCCGGAAAAGTGATCCGTCAATTGAGTAACAACCGGGTTCCTACTGACTGCTGGTAAACAGAGGCGCGTGTGGGTGTGTGTGGAGTAAGGAAACTTGCCCAACGTTTCGCCCTGACCCGCCCGGGAATCAAACCCAGGTCCTCTCGCTTGCGAGGCGAGGGCTCTAACCCCTGAGCTGCAGGACTCCAAGGACAAAAAGCGTGTTATACTCAAGTGTTAATGTGTAGTGTACAGGAATGTTATATCCAGTAACACACTGAGTAACGTTACATAATACATACGCAGAATGCTTCTCTGTCATGAGACAATATACACAAGTATGATACCCAGCGTCACACACTATGTTAATTTGGAATATACAAGGAAGAGTTCCACCCAGAAACACACAGCATTTCATATGCTTTCACTCCAGGGCATAGGAATATAGGAATATAGGAACAGCAGGAGGCCATTCAGCCCTTCGAGTCTGTTCCATTCTATTAGATCATGGCTGATCTGTACTTCAACTCCAATTACCAGCCTTTGCCTCATATCCCTTGATACCCTTAACTAACACAAATTATGACAGCACAGCCCAGCCTGGCTCATCGGCAGGCTGGTCACTGGGGGCAGGGAATCCTCCCACTCAGCTCCTGTTATCCCTGCAGCCAAAGTCCTAAGTCTTAGCTGGACATGCAGTAGGAAAGCTTGGCCAGACAGTGATATCAATGGCCAAGCTATGTGTAGGTTTAGCTGGATAGTCTCCAGCAGTTACCACAATGCACACTCTGGGCTCCCCCCAAGCCTTGGCTCTTGCCAACCTGCACCTAATACTCTCCGGAATTAGGTAAACAGAATACGTCCCTCCAGAGAGAGAGAGAGAGAGAGCGTATTTCATTCCAACAGTCTAGCCCTGGGATTTCCGTGTGCAGGTGAAACGCATGGAAATCTGTTTGGTTTGGAGACTCTTAAGCAATGGTGATGGGTTTCCGCACATGTCAGACACCCAACTGACCCCCAAAAAATCTATTATATAGTAAACTCCTCATAACTCAACCCTGGGTTAACATGTTAATATTCTTGTGTGGTGATTTGCGCGCTCGCTTCACAAGCGAGAGGACCCGGGTTCAAACCCAGGCAGGGCGAAACCTGAGGCACGGTTCCTTACTCCACATGCCTCTGTTAACCTACTTACATAGGAAGCTGGTTGTTAGTTGATTGGTGGATTGCTTTCCGGGGGTAATAATACTCACAAAATTTTCAGTTTGGTCACTCAATCTACGACTATTTGTGGGTCACTGCTGTGTGCAATTGGCTGCCACGATTGACCCACAAAGTACACAGTATATCCTGTGAAGAACTTTGAGAAATCTCAACGCTGTGATAAGGCGCTGTATCAAATGCAAGGATGTTATTGCAAAGGAACATTTTAACCCGGGAACGCAGTGTGTTGTGTAGAACACTTGAGGATCATTATACAGTTGATTAACAAATACAAAACAGTTAATTAAAGGATTATTCCCTGGGTGTGGAGGTGCAGTGATCTTTAGCTTTAAATTTAATTTAATGTGTTGATTCAATCAATTAACCACCCCCTTTCCAGCACGATCAGTAGCAGCTGTTGTTTGTCCAGCAAGGACCACCTTATCTGTTTGGGCTTTATAGGGCTGTTAGGGTGATGCCCTGTAACATTGTGGTTAGAGCACTCGCTTCACAAGTAAGAGGACCAAGAACTTGGTTGTTAGTCAATTGGCTGACTGCTGACCAGGAATAATAATCCCTGGAAAATAATAATAATTTGATCACTCAATCCATGACTGTTTGTGGGACACTGCTGTGCTTAATTGGCTGCTGCGTTTCACCCACAAAATACACAGGTCACCTTACAGTATATCTTGTGAAGCGCTTTTGAGACGTCTCAATGACGTGATAAGGGGCTATATCAAATGCAAGTATTATTATTATGACATTATTATGTATCTTTTCAGAGGCGTGAAGGATAAGGAAACTTGTCTAAACTTTTGCCCCCGCTGTGTGCAATTGGCTGCTGAGTTTCGCCCAGAAAATATACAGTCAATCCAATTTACAGTAGATTCTGTGAAGCGCTTTGAGAGGTCTCAACGACGTGATAAGTGGCTATATCCCTGCGTGGATCTTTCCACCTCTCGACGAAACCTGAAACAGTGAATGTGAGGCCTCCTCTGTGGCTGATAAATGCCGCAGTCAGCAGAGAAGCCCAGCTGGTTGGCACTTCTAAGCTATCGATTAGCTGGTACCGGCTGGAGGATGTGTTTATTGTACTGTACTGGAGAGCAAGCTGCAAACAGCTTGTGAATCCTCCAGCAAAGGTGCAGTCAGCATAAGAGTGACTTGTGCCTCACACCATTGGACCATTGCCAGCAGGGTTTGCAGCTCTGATTCCTGTCTTTAACATAATGAGGGGGAATTAACACGTTCGACCTCCAACACAACAACATCAAATTACAGAGAATGTCAGAGAGACATCTCAAGGCGCTGGACTGTCAGGGATCTGCACCCGAGCTGGTGGTTGGGATCAGGAGGGTAGGGAGGGTAGGGAGGGTAGGCACGGTCGAGGAGGAGGGTCTTGAAGGAGGGGGCAATTATAATTAAACACCACTGTTTATTAATAATAATCCTTGCTTTTGATATAATACCTTATCATGTCATCGAGATGTCTCAAAGCGCTTCACAGGATATACTGTAAAGTGAATTGACTGAATATATTTTGTGGGAGAAATGCAGCAGTCCATTGCGCACAGCAGCGTCCCCACAAACAGTCGTGGATCGAGCAACCAATATGACCTTAGTAGTTCATTCAGCTCAACAGGATATCAGCCATGAAATAAGAGAAAGAGTCGTGGATTGAGTGACCAAGTTTATTTATTTTAATTTTTTTAAAGGTATTATTATCCCTGGAAAAGCAATCCGCCAATCGACTAACAGCCGGGTTCCTACTTACTGCTAGGTGACCAGAGGCACGTGTGTGGAGTAAGAAAACTTGCCTAAGGTTTTGCTCCGACTGGGAATCGAACCCGGGCCCTCTCGCTTGCGAGGTGAGTGCTCTA